CGGACTCGCCCGCGCCCCCCACCCCGCGTGCCCCTCAGCCGCCCGCGGATCGGGCCACCAGGTCGCTTCCTCCCTCCCCAGCCTGTGGGGTCTCGTTGGGTCAGGGCTCCGAGCTCTCGGCGCCGTGGGCCCTGTCGGTGGAAGGGGGCTGGGCTTTGCCGTCAGGGAGTAGCCGCTTCGGAAAATGCCCCTTCGTAGTCTGTAAGTCGGTTAAACAGGTCTGGACGCGAAACCGTGCGCGGCGACGCGTGGGGTCGGCCCTGCGAGTCTGGGCTGCGCGGCGCTGACCGAGCACGCGCGCCGGACCCGCTGCTCGACGCTCGTGACCGTGCGGCCCGAACGCTCCGGTGGGGTCGAGCTCGTGCGCTTCCCGGTGCCCGTGGCGGGGGCCGGCGGGGGTGTGTGTTACCCTCACCCCTACTTACGGTTCTCTATTTTTCTTGTTTCCTTTTTGAGGGGCTTTCCCTAGAAGGCTCTTTTCAAATGAGATAATCGTCCTTTTGCGTAACTATGTGGGGATTTTTTTTTTCTTACCACGTCTGTCCACAACAGCTGTTTTTCTTATCCAGAAGTTTTTAAGATTAGAATTGAATATTTGCAATTCCGAGATCGGTCTGTGCCTTTTATGGAGAAAGTGGAGAGACTAATTCGGCAGCCCTCAAAGCGTTCTCATTGATATACTCGGAGTTCTTTATTCTGGGAACAATGCACTAAAATCTTTATTAGACAAACCACAAGCTCTTTGGAAAGGCCATTCGTGTCACTTGAATAGAATTAAAATACTATTTAAATGGTGTAATGAAAATACAATGTTACAGATGAGGGTTTTTTTTGGGCTTTTGTAAAGTGGGTTCAGGAGAGGCTGCCATTTACATAAAATGCTTTGTAACATTTGCTGGGTTTGGGTTTTACAGGTTTTCTTTTCTTGCATGACGAGTGAGCTCCACTGGAATTTACTTGCAGAGCGTCCTTAGGGTATTTGTGACCTTCACAGTCTTTCAGGTTCTATAAACAAGCAAAAACCCTGCCTACAAGCTCACACTCGGGTCTGCCAAATATTTTCTCAGTTTGAGATAAGTTTGTCCCACTGCCTTAGTGTTTGCACGATCTCCTCACCTGCCATCTGGTTAGACTTGGTTAGATTTACCGGAAACTAGGAGGTAGGCCATGAAAAGGGACAGGGCTGAAGGGGAGGAATCGGTACTAGTTATATAAGTTAACTTTGGCGTTTGGTGGCATTGTGCATCTAATTAGATAAGAGCATTTTAACCTAAAAACCCTGACAGTCCTAACTTTCCTTTTTCGCTTTCGGTACTTTCAAAACTAAAAGCAGTAGAAGCGTCTCGATTGCTAAAGTAACCCCCAGCTCCCTTCCCTCATTGTGTTGGCACCATGTTTAAACTAAAACATTTGGGCATTTTTACATTTCAGCCTTTATACCTTAAGCCTCAACTGAGAAAGAAAGAACCCAAGATTTTCTTAAGTGTTCATCCCTTGAAAATATCGTAAGATTTGCTTTTCTCTTTTTTCTCCTCCCTCTTTGTCTTTCTCCAGTCTCATTAAGTCGCGGCATTATTTTTTGAAAAGGAGATTTACCTTCCCTGAATATTAAAGAAGGCCCTCTGACTTGCAGTTGATTCAGCAAATACATGAGAGCCTACTCTGTCCTGTTGTAGGTGTGGAATTAAGCAGAATCAAGATAAAGTCTCTGCCTTCATACAGTTTACGATTTAGAAAGGAAGACAACACAGGAAATCATTACTGAATATTGAATATCCTAGGACATAGCGATAAGTTTGGCGACAAAAATAAAGCCATGTAAGAGCATGAGAGTGAGGTGCTGCCGTTTTAAATAGGTCAGGGGAGGCCTCTAAAGAGGTGACAGTTGAGCAGGGGGACCTGAATGGAGTGAGTCATGTTTGACCTGGTACTTTTCTAATATAGTGACTCACTTTAAACAGCTGAAGCACAGTCAAGGGGAGGGCTGCTGGTGAAGGTCTCTTGTGAAATCCAGCACGTTTGCGGGTAATGAGGACAATGGAATTTGTTAACAGTTAATTTAGAAAAATGTGATAAAAGAAGCTTTCTCTTTCTAGGGTCTTTGGAAAGAAGCATGTCCAAGAAATGCGTAGGGTGCAAGGTGTTGTGCTAGATATGTAGACTGCTCAGTCTAATCGAAACAGGCATGGGGCAAGTAGAGGCCAAAGACAAATTGAGCTTGCTTTGAAATTTTGCCTGGGGCTGGTCATCCAGAATCATCCCTGTGTGCTAATCTTGTCTGTGCTTGTTTCCATGTTTATAAAATGATGACTCATAAGGTTTTGCGAAGATTCAATAAAACACCCAGAACAGTGCCTGATTTACAGTAAACTCCATGAACCTTAGGACAGTAGTATAGTGGCTGATGCCTGTGTTGGTGAGGTCCGTTGGGACGTATCTGAAATGGACAAGGGCATGCTGGTTGTGTGTATGACGATTGTCCTTACCAGTAGATCTGTGATGAACTTTATATAATTTCTTCATTTTCAAGATTTCTGCCTACTTTGATAAATGTCATCTGAGAGCATGCATATGAGGGTGGCAATTTTGGTCTTATTTTTTAAGAATCCTTGGGCTTATTTTAAACAGTCAGTTCTAAAGTCAGTCTCCCTTAGTCTGCAATGAACTTTTGGATGCCCACTCCCAGTGCAGAGCCAGCAGGTTGTCAGACTCTTGGGGTATGTTACATAATAAACGAGAAATGGCCGTTGTCCTCAGGGAGCTTGAGTGCGGTTTTAATTCTTGACACTGAATATTTGTTTATTGCTATATATCTGCCATCTAGAACAGTGAACACAGGAGGTGTTCAGTAATTCGAAGGAATGAATCAAAAGAATAAAACTGGCAAAGTATGAATTTGTCACTTACAGATTCTTTTCATATTCTGTAATGACCTTATGATTTAAATTTTTATGAAAGTAAAACATTCTTTGTAGAAAAGTTTGAAATTATTTTTTAAAAAACAGCAAAGAATGATCTATACGAAGACAGTTTTCGAACGTACATGTAATGCATGTTTGGGAGGAAATAAGTCTTAAAAATTTTATTGATGTATAATATTCAGAAAGGTGCATGTAAATGTGCAGCTTGATATCATTTTCACAAACCGAATATACCCAACTAATCGGCACCCAAATTAAAGACCAGAAAACTGCCAGTGCCCCAGAAGCTCCCTTCATGCTCCCTTCTGTTGTCGCCGAGAGTGGTAGCCTCTGTCCTAGTCTTTAATGGCAGAGATTTGCTTGCTCTTGTGCTTTATGTGAATAGAACCCTACCGTATGTACGTAGTTCTTACAGCTTGTTTATCGCAATATGATGTAGAACAATATTTAGTGATTTGTTTACGATGTAATTTTAATGGCTGAGAGTAGCATATAGATAGTAATCCCTTATTTGTGCATCTGTATAGTTTTCCATTATTAATAAGTGACGCTGATGGATAGAGAGATTTTCTTCTTGGTCTTTCTTGCCCTCCTGTTTTGGGAGACCAGCATCAGACTAGCTATCCTGTTCTTGTAACATGGAGCAGAGGGCAAGGAAAGGGTAGAGCCAAGCCCTAGCAAGGGAAAGTAGGAACTTGGAGCTTCTTACACAGGTATTTATCGAGCATCCACTCTGGGTTTTATACTGTGTAACACACTACTCACGAGTTCGTCAGACCGATTGACATTGATGATATGTGGTAGAAGCAACCTTTTTAAAACTGAGATATAATTGACATTAGTTTCAGGTGTACAACATGATTCAATATTATATTGCAAAGTAATCACAATATATATAGTTAACATCCATCACCAAACAGTTACAAATTCTTGCGATGAGGACTTTAAAGATCTGACCTGGCAATTTTCAAATATATAGTGTAGTGTTATTAACTGTAGTCACATTTTCAAATATATAGTGTAGTGTTATTAACTGTAGTCACCTTTCTGTACGTTATATCCCCAGAGCTTATTTATCTTATAAGTGGGGTGTACATTATATCCCCAGAGCTTATTTATCTTATAAGTGGAGGTTTGTACCTTTTGACCGCCTTGCCTCATTTTGCCCACCCCACCCCTTGCCTCTGGCAACCACCAGTCTATTCTCTGTTTGAGATCAGTGTTTTGTTCTGGTTTTTCTTTTTTCTTTCTTTCTTTTCTTTCTTTCTTTTTAGATGTTACATATAAGTGAGTTCATACAGTATTTGTTTTTCTCTGACTTATTTCACTTAGCATGATGCCCTCAAGTTCTATCCATGTCGTTGGAAATGGCAAGATTTCCTTCTTTTTTATGGCTGAATACATTCTGTTTGTGTATATAACATTTTCTTTATCCATTTATCCATTGATAGACACAGGATGTTTCCGTGTCTTGGCTGTTGTAAATAATGCTGCAATGAACGTGGCGGTGCGTAGATCTTTATGAACTAGTGTTGTCTTTGGATAAATACCCAGGAGTGCAGTTGCTGGGTCAGAAGGTAGTTTTATTTTTAATTTTTTGAGGAATCCTCAGACTTTTCAGTAGTGGATACACCAGTTTGCAGTCCCACCAGCACAGTGTACAGGGTTTTCCTTTTCTCTGCATCCTCTCCAACACTTGTTATTTCTTGTCTTTTGATAATAGTCGTTCTAGCAGGTGTGAAGTGAAATCTCGTTGTGTTTTTGACTTGCATTTCCCTGATGATTAATGATGTTGAGCATCTTTCATGTTCCTGTTGGCCATTTGTATCTCCTTTTTGGGAAAATGTCTATTCAGATCCTCTGCCCATTTTTCAATTGGATCGTTTGGGGTTTTGTTTGTTTGTTTGTTTGTTCCGTTGAGCTGTATGAGTTTTTATGTATTTTGGATATTAACCCTTTATTAAGCCCTTATCAGGTGTGTGATTTGCACGTGTTTTCTCCCACTCAGTAGGTTGCCTTTTCATTTGGTTGATGGTTTCCTTTGATGTGCAGAAGCTTTTTATTTTGATATAGGCCCACTTGTTTATTTTGACTTTTATTGCCTTTGTGTTTGGTGTCAAATCCAGGAAATTATTAGCAAGACCAGTGTCAAGGAGCTTACCGCCTCTGTTTTCTTCTAGGCGTTTTATGGTTTCAAGTCTTAACGTTCAAGTCTTTAATTCATTTGTATCTGTTCTTATATGGTGTATAAGATAGTGTTCTAGTTTGATTCTTTTGCATTTAGCTGTCCATTTTTCCCAACATTTATGGAGGAGACTGTCCTTTCTCTATTGTATATTCTTGGTTCCTTTGTTGTAAGTTAATTAACCGTGTATGTGTGGGTTTATTCCTGAACTCTATTCCATTCCATTGATCTGTCTGTTTTATGCCAATGCCATACTATTTTCATTACTATAGCTTCGTAATATAGTTTGAAATCAGGAAGCGTGATGCCTCTGACTTAGTTTTTCCTTCTCAGATTGCTTTTGTTATTTGGGGTCTTTGTGGTTCCATACAGATTTTGGAATTGTTGGTTGTATTTCTGCAGAAAATGCCATTGGAATTTTGGTAGAGATGGTGTCAGATCTGTAGATCACTTTGGGTAGTATGGACATTTTAACAATATTCATTCTTCTAATCCATGAGCACTGCATATCTTTCCATTTATTTGTATCTTCAGTTTCTTTCATCAGTGTCTTACAGTTTTCAGGTTACAAGTCTTTCACCTGCTTGGTTAAATTTATTTCTAGGTATTTTATTCTTTTTGAGGCATTTGTAAACAGGAATGTTTTCTTAATTTCTTTTTTGATAGTTCGTTATTGGTATATAAAAATGCAACTGATTTTTGTCAATATACAAAAATGATTTTGCATCCTGCAGCGTTACTGAATTCGTTTATTCTAAGTTTTTTGGTTGAATCTTTAGAAATCTATTTTTCGGTATATCTGGAAGCAGAAGTTCTCTAACAGGCCAAAATCTGCCATATACGTCTCCTTTGGGGGTGGGAAAAAAAGAAATGCATGTAAAGCTGTTCCACAGAAGCAGCTTAGACATGGATTAGAAGCGGGGAGGGGTGGCAGTGGCAGAGAGAAGTGGAGTAAGATCAAAAAGTAGTTTTCCGCCATAATCCATGAGATTTTTCTCGTGCCACACGGTTATCTTTGCGTTTATTTATGGAGAACTCTTGTTCGATATGGAGTGATCTGAGAAGTCGGGAGAAAGTATTAGGACTCCCTTGTAACGGTCGAGGTGAAAGAGAAAAGTGTGAACTGAAATTAATGATGAAAAGGATAGATTTGAGAAATTTTTCATGAAGATTCTGTCATCAAGGAAAGGCTAAATTACGTTTCATATTCATGTCTAAAAGGTTTATTTTTATTATCCATCAAAATAAGATAATATATACATTTAAAGGGATGTTTCAGTTATTTTGAAATTTTACTCGTGTGTAGCAGTCTTGTTTACTGATGTCAGATAAATGAGGCATTTAGGTTAAATGAGATTATTTGCTTTTCTACAGCTTTTAATCTTTTGAAAAGACATTTTGAAACATGAAATAGACTAAAGATTTGGTATCGTTTTCTCTGGTTAGGGAACTGAGGCACTAGGAAGGGATTTAAATAACTTCTTACAGATACTATGAACCATGGTGACTGTGGAATCAGTGTCACATACGTCTGGTTACTACATTTGCCTTACTCCTGTCGCTAAAATGTGGTTACTATGAATATTTCTCTGAAAAATTAGGACTGTGGGATATCATTACGAATTTTACCTAAGCATTACATAAGCATTTAAATTATTCAAATTCAGGCTCATTTAGTTAGTTCCAGCAATAGGTACAACTTTCATTGTATAGTTATATATAGAGATAGGGAAGTAGATAAATATATATCAGAAAAAAATGTTCCTGGGCCATGAAGTTAAAAAAATTAAAATGCTAGTCAGCACTTTCAGTGATTCACTTATTCAGTAATTCACCACTTTAACTGGTGTTATAGATAAAAGATCAGAATTTCGAATCAGATGAGCTACATTAAGCTTTATCGCTATGGCCCTGGATAGCAATGAAGAATGGAGTTATATTACCTGGGGTTAAATTTGAGCCTAGCCATTTACTAGCTGTTTGACTAAAGTGAGGTCACTGAATTGTGTGTTTGTTTCTTCATTTGTTTAATAAGGAGCCTAATTACCTACCTCACAGGGTCGTGAGCATTAAATGATACTCTGTACATAGTGCTTAGCACATAGTAGATGTGCAATAAATATGACCTGTTAAACTTAATCCATGAAAATTTGGATTTACATTAAAGATAAATTTTGCCTTTAAAGAACAGTTCTTTTTAGTACAAGATTCATGGTTGGGTGAAATAACAAGTATCTCTTCCATTTAGAATTGAAATACCTTTTTAGAAACAGATCTGCTGCTGAGAATAAGGTCTATACAGAAATTTCTGTATTCCTATATTGTTACAATGTAATGTCCTTCAATTATCCTATTAGAAGAATCTGTCCCCAGATATTATTTTAATTAGTTATTTGAAAAAAAGGTCAGTGTCTTTTTGTGATCTTTTGACCGAATACATAGATCCTATGGCATATAAAAGACACCGTGAAGATCCCTGGCTTTCAATAATTTATTCGTGGAAACATTTTGGATCAGTTCCCACCATTGGAGAAAGATGAGATGGATCCCTCATCGGAGCTATTTATAAGCTTGTGGCGCTCAAGCTTTGAAGCTGGTGACAGAAACAGGGACAAAATATCTTTCCTTCTGTCTTCTTTCTCAGGACAAATTTTTAAAATGTAATCCTGCCCATGAGACCTTATGACAGTAAAAAATGAGCTATCATGGGACTTGCGACTTGATTTTTTTTTTTTATCCTAGATGTTGTTTCTCCTTCATTCTTTTGAGTATTTAGCAAGTGATAAAAGGTTTGCTGGCTGTAGAATTTATTGACATTAATAAGGGTTCTGGTATTTTCTAGCATGGGAGTCTTTCAGCTTCATCTCCCAAACCTAATAACTGATACTAATGCGGGACTTCACCTTTGAGATCACATTTTTGTTCTTAGTTGCTTTCAAATGCATACTGTTTTCCTGTACCAGACCAGGACGTTTATACACGTTATCATTTAATTTTTACAAGAGCTATATAAAAAGTATAATACTCATTCATAGTTAAGGAAACTGATGCTCAAGAAATTAAGTAAGTTTTATATGTAATGTAAAAGAGCCAGGATTCTGACTGTGGCCTAATTGACTCTCAGTGCCCACTATGTTTTAGGCAGCATTGCCCTTTTCAAACTGATTCTTGTCATAAACATCTTGTTTGTTTGAAGAATTGACATACTTATGTGAGCATGCATACTTACATGTGTGTGCAAGACAAAAAGACTCTACGCCAGAATGTTGTTAGTAGTTCTTGTGGATAATGGGTGCTTAAAAAAATTTTTTTTGTATTTATTTGTATTTTCTGTACACGAGCATAATATATTATTTTGTAATAAACATTTTTATGTTAAATATTGAACTTAGTAATTGACATCTCTAATCTGTTGTTGCTTATTTCTAGATCAATTGGCCTTATTTCCTCGGTGGGAATCTAGCCATTATGATGTAGTAGTTGGTGTGTTGTCAGCCCGCAATAACCGTGAACTTCGAAATGTGATTAGAAGCACCTGGCTGAAGCATTTAATACAACATCCAACACTAAGTCGACGGTAGGTTTTCTGAGTTGGCACATTGCCTGATTTACTGAATAAGTTCTGTAAAACCTCTTCTTGGGCAGTCAGACATGCTAATTTAGACGTGTGGTCTCTTTTCCTGGGAGAAATGGCTATTTCATTTTGCTTTTCCTCCATGTAGTTGAGCCCCCAAAGTAAATTTAACCAAAGTTTTAAGCCAAAAGGTAGTCGTGGAGAATATAGTCATTGCCTAACATACCTACCTAGTTTTTATAGATGCCTAGTTTGTTTTTGCTTTGATTTGGAATAACAATTCTTAAAAGGTTCGAGTTCAGAATAGTTATTGGTTTAGACATGTTCGTGTTGAAATACGCTTTTCACTAACTTCACAGAGACACACTTGATTTTTTTCGTTGAGTGATTTTTTTAGCAGTGTGATCTGCAGTGCGTGTGACACGCCACGCTCTTCTTCCTGACTACCCTTCCAGGGCTGAGCTTCGGGAGCACAGTCACGTTGACATTAGTTGGCTCGATTACTGGTTAGGAGCCCAAGGCCTTAGCCTTGGACCAGCCTCTGAAGATTACGTAGGGAAGCGTTAGTGGGAGAGAAGAGTGGACGGTCGGACACCTCGTCATGTGAAGACCCTCAGGTGATAAGCAGAGAAGGCGCTCTCACGATCGTATTAAACTGTCACGTTGTAGCTGAGTAGCTGCACAACCGAATCGCAGTTGTGAATTTTCTTGTCACCAGCAGTGAACATTTATAGATTTTCTATCTTACTCATAGCGCTTTTATTTCTTTTCAAGACAGGTTTCTTTAGCTCACGATCGCAGTGATAATTGAACCTATTACACTGCAATGAGAGGCCGCAGCTTTGTCGCTGCAGCCAGAACCGCCTCCCGACCTGCTCTTGCTGCGCAGCCTTTCCCGCCTCAGAATAATGACCCCTCTGCCGGTCGCTCCGGCCACAAACCTGGGTGTTTGTGTTGTGAAGGGAGAGGGGCGAGCCCCCCTTGTGGGGTCTTTAAGGAACAATCCGGCGCGTCCACAGAAATTACACATGGAAACTAAAGGATCTGTTACACTCACGGGCCCTGGAGAGAGAGAGAGCGAGGGCCGTGGGCACGTGCCGTTACTGGGGCTTGTGGTGGAGGACACAGGTGGCCCTTGAACAACACAGGCCCACACGGAGATTTTTTTAAAAAATAAATACTGTAAATGTATTTCCTCTTACAATTTTCTTAATATTTTCCTTAGTTTTCCTTATTGTAATGATACAGTATTTAATCATGTAACATAAAATATGTGTTAATCAAATGTGTTATGTTATCATTAAGGCTTCTGGTCAACAGTAAGCTATTAATATTAAGCTTTGTGAGGATCAAAAGTGACACGTGGATATTTGGCTGCGTGGCGGTCAGTGCCCGTAACCCCGTGCGTCGTTCAAGGGTCAGCTGTGTGAGCAGAAGACACGAGGGGGTCCCACTGGGGCATTTGAATGTTACTAGGTCACAGTCAAGAGAGGGCACGAAGAGGACCTAGTGCAGGGACCAGCCCGCTCAAGTCGAGGCATCGGGGAAGTGGGAAGTTTTAAAAATGTACGATGCGGTGTTATCCCGGTTCTTCTTTCTCGCGCGTGCCACGTCCAGTCCATCAGCATATCCTCTTGGGACTGCCTTTAGGTCATTTCTAGAATCCGACCGCTCACCACCTTCACCACGGCTGTCAGAACCATGGTCCTGGCCTAGGCCCATTACGTCGCACCTGGGTTATTGCAGAAGCCTCCGGGTCTGAATTTCCTGCTTCTACCTTTGACCCTCTGTGTTTTATTTCTATTCAGCAGCCAGAGTGATTCTTCTAAGATTAGTTAGTTATGTCTAATCAGCATGCCGTACGCCTGAAACTAATACGAAATAATATTGAATGTCAACTCAACATTAAAGAAAGGTTACTGATGTAGATTTTCTGCTCATACCCGTCCCTTGACTTCCCTTGCTCAGAGTGTGATACCAAGGCTTTCTGCTGGTCCTTGACCTTATCTGCGTCCCCTGCCCCTTCACTTGGCCACCTTAGACTGCGCCTCATGCGCTAAGCGTGCTCCTGCCGCAGGGCCTTGGCACTTGCTGTCCCCCCGCCTCAGCACTCTTCCCACCGGGTAGCCTCGTGGCTCACTCGCTCCCTTCCGTCCGGCGTCTGCTTAGACGTCACTTCAGCAGGCAGCCCCTGCTTAAACGCTGCACCCCGTTCCTTCTCTGTCTTCCCTTACTTGGCTTTATTTTCCTTTACAATATTTATCACCAATTAGCATATGTATTACATTTAGTTGTATGTTTATAAATCGTCTTTTCCCACTAGAATATGTTTTGTGAGCATAGGGGCTTTAGTTTTTTTTAGTTGATGTATTCCCAGAACCTAGAACCTAACTTGGCACGGAGTAAGGCACCTATCAATTACTGAGTGAATGACTCAGAACTAAATGTAATGTGTAAAGTTAATTTAGCATTCAGATATTCACCAGTAATTTATTTGCCATTATAGCATTCTTGCTTTAAATTTAATAAGTTTGGCAATTTATTATATAAAAGTGGTGGAATATCTGTATAAAAATAAGTATTAGCCAAAAACATCTTCTTGGAGCACAGTAATTTTGTGGATCTAGTAAGAGTATTTAAGATGGCTTAAAAAAAAACTGGTAAATATCTGCAATAATTTAGCAAATTTATTTCTGTTTATACTTTTATTCTAAATACTCATTGTTAATGAAAGGTAGTCTGCCTTAGTTGGGCATTAGTAAAAGAAAGTGTTTGCATTTCTGTGGTTATGGTTTACTTTAAAGTCTTTGCATTTCACTGAGGGAGCCAGACTCCACATATATTTCAAGGACTTTAATTAAAAACCTTTGTAATAAAACCACGAGTTGTCAGTTTCACAGGTATTTAATAATGTCTTATGTATACAGGTAGTACATAGAAATTAATGGCAGGACTTACGTATTTATAAATGTAGGGAGGGAGCCACGGGTCACAGGTACCCAGTGAAGCAAGGCTGAGGCAAAGAGAGGATCTGCTCTCACGTAGAAAGACGAATCTTAAGTAAAAGGACCACCTTCTGAAGCGGAAGAAAGCAGGTAGAGACGATTGCAGACGGAGATGAGATTTTAAGTGCGGGGGCGAGAAGCCGACTTTACTGCAGTTTGCGTTTAAGTGGTGTGAGCATTTGCTGGTAGCCAGGCCAGCCATGTTCACACTTGGTTTTACTCTACACAGCACCGGGCTCACACGTAAGTCACTTGGTAGTTAGCACCTCGGGTTTGCTTGTTCCCCCTTTTTGCTAGACGAGAAGAATAAAGTTAGAGTGAATCCTAATAAATGCCGTGTCTCAAAGTAAAAGCTCTGAGATGGGCGTGAGGAAACGTGCACGTGCGAGGTGAAGATCAGTAACCGATGTTCATGCCACCCCCTCTCAGCGTGCTGGTCAAGTTCATCATAGGTGCTCGTGGCTGCGACGTGCCCGTGGAGGACCGGGAAGACCCTTACTCCTGCAGACTGCTCAACATCACGAATCCAGGTGAGTCCTTTCTCGGCCTGTGACTACTGTGTACAGATTTGGTGGTGAGTAGTATGGCGTCTGTTTTTAGCAGATGAAAATCAAGCTTTCGTCAAAATTTGTCTTTCATCCTTTTTGACAGATTGACTATTCACTCTGGGTATCTGTGAAGATTCTTTATAGCTATATAGTAATTTCGGGATCCAGTAGGATATATTTTTCAGGATGATTCAGATGTATCTGGAAATTCCTCATGCAGAGATAAATCCTCAATTACTGAATTTCAAACTTTTGGAAAACTGCTGATTTCACCAGCCTGTTGATTTCTGATAGCCTTGATAACAAATACTGTGAATCAGCTTTCTCTTAGAGTTATTGCCTAAGCTTCTGCAAAGGAAACAAAGTAAAAAAACTGAAAACTCAAGTAGTACTTTTTTATTCCTTACAGTTAAAAACTTGTAGGAGTCCTGAGGAGGAAGGAAGGTGGTGGTGATTAGCTTGGGTGTGACCTCGGAACCGTTTTAGGGAGTTGGTAACTGTTACCGCCCATCTTGTGTTATTTTGTAGCATTTCTTATTGTGTTCAGTTGTGATTCTAAGGCACATTGAATTTTTCCAAATCTTTAAGTGTGCCGATGATGACTTCTGGTATTTTAAGATTTGTCGCACCTGTGTGATTACACCCCGCTTCTCTAAGCAGCGGTGGTGGTGGTGAAGGGCGTGGCTTTCAGGCCGGGCTCTGCCGGTTTCCAGCTGGCTGACCTTGGATCACTTATTTATCCTCTGAGCCTCAGTTTCGTCATAAACGGGATAAGAGTACTTACCTCATTGGGATTGTCAAGAGGATGAAATAGATTGATACATATAAAATATTCAGGATAGTTCCTAGAACATGGTAGCTGCTGAATATCATTTTAAAGAACCTGCCTTTTTATAAAGTTGGGTTTCAGTTGGCTTGTTAAATAAATTAGACCCTATTTTCAGGTCTGTATTGTAAAGCAGAGAGGTTTCATACTTAGGATTTCTATGAATTAAGTTAACTTTGTAAGTGAAAATTTGTGAATAATTGTGTTTTTCTGGGGGAGGGGGTCCTTTAATTTTCACCAGAGTCCCAAGATAACCATGAACCTAATAAAATGTATTACTGATGATTTAAGAGTAGCCTAGAACAAATCATTCGAAATCCAAAACCAAACCAAATTTTAAAAAACCTCATCTTTAAGTTAACCTGACTTTTATTAAAATGCTACTATTCATTGACAGTAAAGGAGTAGAGCTTTCCATTAATAGAAAAATTTCATTTATATAATACCTAGTTACAAATTTTAAAACAGGTGTAACTAAATTTATATTGAACCCAATTTTATCTTTTTGATGATTTAAATGGCATTAAGGTTTATTTTAATACCTTAAGGTCATCATGAGCATTAATTATAATACCCTGGATGTGGAGAAGTTTTGATTAATAGCGTTATCAAAGTAGCAGGATTTCCTGTGTTCAGGTAGCTTGAAGTTCAAGGTATGTTTGTTTTGGAAATATGTAATATGTTATAACGTACTTAACCTATTGCCCGTGGTAGACGTATTTCTACTTTGTATCTCTTTTATTTACTGAATGTATTGAAGAGAAAAACTTCTGTTGTCTCTAGTATATTTGGAGTCTAGACTCTCCTGCCAGGGCCTGCCCAGCTCACAACAAAATCTGTATCCCCCTTTTTTCCCCTCCTGCTCACGTATGCAATTGGGTAGGAGCTGTCAGTGCTGTTCAGTCACATTTTAATGAGCATCTACTAAAGGTAAAATAGCATTCTAGGAACTCTTTAGGACGGGGATCCAAATGATCCTCTGGTGTATAGGAAGAAAACAATTTCTATTTATCTGAAAACAAAACGTAATCGTTATTAATGCTAACTATATTGACAGTAATACGTGTGTATATTTTATAAATAAATATGAGCGTGGACAAATGTTTTTAGTTGATGGGGTTGTGTGACCAGCAAAGTTGGAAAACGATAGCTCGAAAAGATAAAAGAACTTTGATACGATCTTTTAAAATAGGTTTTTATATTATTTCTCAAAGTGGACTGATTCTCAGCCATATTAAGTGCTTCGTGAAATCTATTCTGAGTCATTATGGTAATTGAAAAAATTATTCGAAAAGGACCATTTTTGACCTCGATTCGACAGCTACAGAGGAGTGGAAAGGGCACTGAATTTGAAGTCACTAAACTTGGGTTTGATTCCTGGCTCTGCCACTGTCTGTGATCTTGGCTGAGTGGCTTAACGTCTCCCGGCTTCAGCTTCTTAATCTGTAAACTGGAGATGGCACCACAGCCACACAGCGTGGCTGTGAAAACGTGAGTGCGAGGGCACAGCACAGAGAGGGCCGCCAGGGACGTGAGCCGTCAGGTGTGCTCTCAGGTGTGCCCTCATTTTCTCAGAGGCGAGCGAGGGTTTTGCGGTGTCATTTGAAGTGCTTTCAGTTACTCTTGTCTGGGATGAGTGCCTGACATCACAAGTATTTTAAGTTGCCCAAGAAGTAGGATTTTTGGAATTTGCGGAACAAGGCTAAATTTATTCATTATTTATGACTGCAGTCAGAACTGTTTTTAATATCCCTATTTATCCAACTTTTCTTAATAGATGCCTTTGAATTTAATATTCCTCTGTGCTGTTTATATATACAGTGTACGCACGTGTGTGCAAAAATCTGTTAAAGTAGTTCTGGTAATAAAATAAATTAAATATTTTACTTCAATGTGGCTGAAAAGTTTGTTCTTAAATTTCCAAAAAAGACAGCCTACTGTTTGGGAGAAGATATTCGCTACTGATACATCTGATAAGGAGTTAATATCCAAAATTTATAAAGAATTTATACAACTCGACAACAAAAAAACAAAACGGTCCGATTAAAAAATGGGCAGAAGGCCTGAACAGATATTTCTCCAAAATGGCTAATAGACATATGAAAAGATGCTCAAGGTCGCTAACCATCAGAGAAATGCAAATTAAAACCACAATGAGATATCACCTCACACCTGTCACAATGGCTGTCATCAATAAATCAAAAAACAGCAAGTGTTGGTGAGGATGCGAAGAAAAGGGAACCCTCATATATTGTTGGTGGGGTTGCAAATTGAATTGGTACAGCTGCTGTGGAAAACAGTCTGGAGGTTCCTCAAAAAATTAAAAATGGATTTGACCCAGCAATTGCACTTCTGGGTATCTTTACTTTGTAAAGATCCTTGTACTCCAATATTCATGGCAGCACAATTTACAGTAGCCGAGATATGGAAGTAACCCAAATGCCCATCAACAGACAATTGGATAAAGAAATTATGGTTCATAATATACAATGGAATATTACTCAGCCATTAAAAAAAATGAAATCCTACCATTTGCAACGACATGGATGGACATAGAGGTTATTATGCTGAGTGAAATAAGTCAGATACCATATGATTTCACTTATATGTGGTATCTAAGGAACAAAAAGAACAAACTAATCAGAAACAGGCTCACAAATATAGTGGACAATTTGGTGACAGGCGGGGGGTGGTTGGGAGGCTGGGAGAATGGGGTGAAGAGTTAACGAAGTACAAATTAGTAGTAGATAGTTGGGCACGGGGAGCATGGCAGAGGGAGTGCAGTCAGCATTAATATGATGGTTAAGTGGAGGGCAGAGGGAGGGAGGGAGCATTTGGGGGGGATTGTTTTACGAACATTGTAGATGTCTAACCAATATACTGTATACTTGAAACTAATTTAAATAATTAAATTTATTTTAAAAATTTTCCAAATAAGTTTGGTTTTTCCCTAGAAGCAGCCATATTTCTGAAGTACATTTTAAAATTACTGCCGTTGTGAAAGAAAAATATAACAATTATCTAGATTTTGCCATCGAGCCCACTTCATTACTTCATACTAGTAAAATAAGACTATTTGATGACGTAAAACTCCTTTTTTCCTTACTTCCTTAGTTTTGAATCAGGAAATCGAGGCGTTCGGTCTTTCTGAAGACACTTCATCAGGGCTCTCTGAGGACCGCGTCGTCAGTGTGAGCTTCCGAGTTCTCTACCCGATCGTTATTACCAGTCTTGGAGTGTTTCATGATGCCAGCGATGTGGGTTTCCAAAGGAACATCACGGTCAAGCTCTATCAGGCGGAACAGGAGGTATGCACTGCTTCGCGCAAGGTTTTCCCCATTTTTCTGTTTTAAGAACATCGGCTTTTTCCATCAGCGAATCATAGGTTGGAAGACCACGTTTCTTCCCTGTCGACTGGGTGCATTATAGTGTAATATGTTACGATGGTGGTTTGGGGAAAGAATACCGATGAATAAATGTGCTCTATGTAGAAAAGAAGGGGTTGGATCAGATTTGTAATTCCCATTTTGACTTAATTTTAGTGTGTGGTGACAGCAGTCTAGTTTCATTCTTTTGCGTGTGGCTTTCCAGTTTTCCCAGCACCATTTATTGAAGGGGCTTTTCTTACTCCACTGTATGATTTTGGCTCCTTTGTCTAAACTTATTTGCCCGTGTACACGAGGGTTTGTTTCTGGACCGTCAGTTCTGTTCCATTGGTCTGTGTGCCTGTTTTCCGTTTTGATTATTGTCGCTCTGTAGTATAGCCTTCTTTCGGGTTAATTGAATGGTTTTAGAATTCCATTTTAATTTGTTTCCTTTTAGCTACATCTCTTTGTACATTTTTTGTTCGTATGTATGGCTGACATAAGGATTAGATGACTTTTCAGTTTCATAAAGTTAATGTTGTGCCCCTCCATATAAAACATAAGAGCTTGTAGCTGTGCGATTCCAGCTACCGCCTCCTGTCTTTTCTGCTTTAGTCGTTATATGCGCTACATCCAAGTACACTGCACATTCCACAGTACAATGTAATAACTTGTGCTTTAAATAGCTAAATAGATACTAAAGTAATTTGGACAACAGTAGTCTTTCACATCTGCCCCCAGTTCCATCTTTTCTGGTGCTCGTCACTCCTTCCTGAATATCCAAGTTTCCATCCGATATCGGCTCCTTCGGCCCAAAGAACAACCATTAGCATTTCTTATCGTGCAAGAAATGTATGTGCTGAATTCACTGAGTTTAATTTTTCTGAAAATGTTTTAATTTTGCCTTTATTCTCCTCCCCCCATTGTTATTGTGGGCTATTTTCTGAATATAGAAATTCCTAGTTAACTTTCTTTTCAATATGTTAAAGATGTCACTCCAGTGTTTCCTGGCCTACATTGTTTCTGGTGAGAAATCACCATCCATCATCTTGTCATTTTCATGTATGATGCGTATAATCTGGTTTTTTATTTTTTTTTCTTGAATGCCTTTAAGATTTTCTCTTTATATTTGGTTTTAAGCAGTTTGATTTCTGTCGTACCTTGCAGTTTTTTCTTTGTCTGTTCTGCTCAGGGTTTGCCAAGTTTCTTCAGTGTGTGAATTCGTCCCTTACCAAATTTTGGAAACTTTCAGCTATTATTTCTTCAAAAAATTTTTCTCAATCCCATTCTTTCTACTCATTCTGAGATTCCCGTTGCATGTATGTTAGACCTTTTGGTACCGTCCCACAGATCACAAACTGTTCATTTTTTTCAATGTTATTTTTTTTCCTGTTTCCAGATGTCATAATTTCTTTTAATATATTCACATCTACTGACTTCTGTCATCTCAAATCTGTTAAGCCTAGCTAATGAATTTTTAATTTTAGATATTGTACTTTTGGGTTCTAGAATTTTCACTTAATATTTCTTTATAGTTTCTATTTCTCTAAAATTTCCTATGTTCATTCATTTTCATTCATGTTTTTTCCTACAGCCTTGACCTAAGTTATAAAAATAGCTATAAAAATCCCGACTGTTCTTATATTTGAGTCCTTTGAGGGGGTTAGTCTTTATCGATTATCATCTTTGCTCTTGAGTATGGGTAACATTTTCCTGTTTTATATCAAGTGACTTTGGATTGTATCCTAAATATTGTGAATAATTCATTGTAGGATTTCTGGATCCTGTTATATTCCTTGAAAAGTATTGATTTTGTTTGTTTTAGCAGGCAGTTAAATTAGCTGGACACAGTCTAAACTGTCTCCCTCGCACTGGACAGAAGCTGAAACTTCTTCAGTTCTTTTGGACTTATATGGTCTGCTTGGGTTCTGTACCAAATGTGTATTTCATGAGTCAGCCGCAGATTTGGGCAGAATTTATATGAGGAACTTAGGGCGCTCTCTCTGTGACCCTTTCCTTTCTAAGGTTTTCCTCCTCACTTTTTAGCTGATGTGTTTGGCTCAGCTCTTTTCTCTGATTTTGCAGCCAGAAAGACCGCAGGTTTTTAATTGTAAATTTTTAGTTGCCTCAGACAAAGAACCATAGAGCATGGGGGAAGCATACACACCTCTTTCTCTTCTTCTCGGTATTGATTTTCTTCCATTTTCTGCCTGCTTTGTTTGCATGCCAGTAGCTTCAGATCATTTTTTTAAATATTTTGCCCAGTGTTCATAATTGTTATCGATAGAATTGGCCTGATGTCACTGGAAGCAGAATTCTGTTCAGGCTTTTTTAGATACCTTAAAAAATGTTTTTTATATTATTGCTAACGTTGATTGTTACTGACAGAAACATTGTTAGTCACCAGTAAATATACAAATGAATTTAAGATTACATTTTTTTGTTGCAATTTGTCCTTTCCTACTTCCTCTAAAGAATCCATGTGGTTCGTAAATGTGCTTAATGACATGAATATGAGAGGGGGAACAAGTCCTCATGTTGATCGCCACCGTTACGATGACAGTGAGATGGCCTTTGTGAAGGTCTCATGTGCAGGAGTTTATATGTTACGGTGCTTAAAAGATTTCATTTATTTTGAATTCAGATAAGTGACTGAAATAGCAGGACTCTGAATTCTACCGTTATCTTTATCCAGAAATTAGGATTAATCTTGAACGTTTTTGATACACTTGTCAGGATATATAGTCTTTTTTTTTTTTACTATTCATAATGTTTGAGTATCAGTCAAGTATTTAGTTCAGATGTACAATATTTTGGTCACGCCGATTTAATTTTTAGTTGCCATATTTTTAGCGCAGGAGAAGTTAATTTTTGTCCCAATCTAAGGTGGATGCTAACGGGTTCACAAGTCATCACCACATTGCCAAGAACTGGTATGAATGAAAGAAATACACATAATTCACTAAGACCCCCTTAATTCTGAACTTCTGCATGGTCTCGATAGCTTTTCCAGAAGTTTCCCACATGGTAAGTTGGTATGTAAGAACGGGCATGAGAATTAGGAAATGTTCTTACCTAAAACAAACCGGAAGCAGCCGAGGAAACAGACGTAATGAGAAATAGTGCTCTTTTATCGTCCCTTGTTTTCGTTTGTTTTTTCTTCTAAAGGTGGTTCCGGGAAGGGGGATTCTTGAGCACTTTTGTTCCATCTAGAAATCTATCATCTTTCAGGTTATCCTTAATCCTTTGGAGTTAAACCTAATAAGATGGTTTAATTTAACAACACCTCACACTTCCCCTAATGTTTCTCATTTCGGGGTGGGTTTTTTTAAGGTTCTATGGATTATATTTAGTGCTGCAGAACTTCACGACAACTTCGGTTATCTTAAACGTCTTTATTTAATAACCTAATTGCACCGAAAACACAGATGGTACCTAAACCACAGGAGAACAACGTTGTAACCACGGTCGGGACCTCTGAGGATTTACTTGACCAAGATGTCAGCTGTGTGAAAACTTGCTGCAGACGCAGTGTCCAGCATGAAGTATTTCTTCTTGTCCCTCTCCCCATTTATAGGAGGCCCTCTTCGTTGCTCGCTTTAGCCCTCCGAGCTGTGGCGTGCAGGTGAACAAGCTGTGGTACAAGCCTGTGGAGCAGTTCATCTTGCCAGAGGTACGAGGTGGGATGGAGCCAGTGGCACCGTGCAGTCCTTCGTGGGTCTAGGGCTGTGCTCCCAGGGCGGGCGCTTGATATTATGTCATTGGGACAGCTCTCCGGGGGGTGGATGAGGCTTCCACCTGGTATCTACTGAAATGTCACACTCTGCATTCATTCCTCCAGGGAGTTTCATGATGCCTTGGAGGTTCCAAAACCACTTACCATGGTTTCGTTAGTGGAGTAGAGAGTTGCGTGGTTATTTTAATGACAAAAGATAGTAAAAGATATGGAATCAGAAAGACCAGACACAGGTGCCATTTGAATAAATCGAAGTTATCTAAAGATGGGGGATGGGGTGTAGACAGGATAATGGCAGAGAGATCGGCCAAATTTCTAAGACAAAACAAAACTTCTCCAAGTTGTGAAAGATGTCTGAAAACTTAACTGTCACCTTCGGGGTCCCTCTGGGTCTAGCCCTAAGTAAATATATGCTGGAGCCCACTCACCTGCAGGTGCTCTCATTAGTCCTGGAGTGGCACCCCAGTCTGGTCGTAGATTGTTAGGCAGCCAGGCGCGAACAGATTATCCACCCATCATCCTCAGCCTTTCTCGCTATTTCAGTCTCGTCCAAGGCCATTCCTAGTCTCAGTGCTTTGGAACCACGTGGGGGTCGGTTTCCCCGACACCCCTGGGAAACTGAGAGTCAACTTCAGATCAGCTATAGGGTTCATCCTGTGACATCAAAGTCAAGTTAAGATATGGCAGTGAGGCAGTCGACCAGCCCTACCGACTGTCCAGGAAACGTTTTCCTACCGCTGTTTGATGGGGACTGTTCACATTTATGCAAAAACAGAATCACACATTTCGTGATAGGCTGTGGATCTTTGGCGTCAGGTACAAGTAGTCGAAACTATGCTGATTCTGTCAGAGGCGTCCCCGTATTTCACCTCTATGTGAACTTCCACTTAAAACATTTAAATGAAAGCAAAACTGAAACACACTGGAAGAGATTTACTAATTTCTCACTGTTAAAAAAAGTCTGTCGTGAACATCTTTACACCTCTTTTGTGTACATAACTGGTTATTAGGATGAATTGTTCAAATTTATATGCTTTTTTAAGGCATGTGATTTTCCGGAGAGCAGTTTGTATCGGTTGGAATCATCAGCATTATATGAGAATCCCTGGTTTTCTGCCCTTTTTAAATTGCGTATGTGAACTTTTCGCTTGTTGAGTGAGGTGTGCACCATCAGAGGCATCTCTCCCTCGCAGTCAAGAGTAGCGCCTCAACTAAGTCTTGGCCAGGAGTCGGACAGCTGATTTGAAGGGAGCCATTCTTCGGTTTGTTTATTCAGTTACTCAGAAAACATTTATTGATAACTTAGTTCAGGCTGAGCCCCAGGACTGTACGAGGCTCCCGTATGCAGGTCTCTGACCGTAAAGCGGCTTCATGCCCGTGGGGAGAGCAGCGCCCACACTGATGTCGTACGTAGCCGTCGGCCCGGCCCGGCCGTCAGCGGCTTCCTGCTGTACCCAGCTGGGAAGCTCCGTGGGATGGAAGCGAGTCCTCCATGGGAGCCTTGCCTTCCTCGGGAGCATTGTGGGCAGGACCTGACCTGGACTCCGTGCAACCCCTGGGGGTGGAGCGCGGGAGCAGGAGCATTGTGGGGGTACAGAACCGAAGGGTCTGAAGCCTGATGTGGGGTCGATCTCCCAGAGGGCTTCCGAGGGTGGGCGTGAGCAGGGAGGAGGAAGGTGCGCCTGGGAGCAAGTCTGTGAGGGCACATTGGGGTGCACGGGCCTGAGTGGGCGCCTGTGGGCACAGCATGGGTGAGTGAATCCCTGCTCTGCCACTTGGCTCTGTGACCTTGTGCAAACTGCTTCATCTCACTGTCTGTCTCCTCTGTAAGGCGGAGGTGCGACACCACCCAGCTCAGAGGGTTAGTCTAGAGACTGAATGATTTGACAGATGACAAATGTTTAGAGACTGAATGATTTGACAGATGACAAATGTTTAGAACACGCCACGCGGTAAGCATTCAGCACCTGCGCATGTGCTGTCCCTGTCACTGCCCCTCTGGATTTGGGGAGTCCTCTTCTTTAAGAGCTGTGTTTCTCCAGCTGGGGCAGTTTGCTCCCGAGGGGACATTTAGCATCGTCTGGAGACGCTCAGTTGTCGTGGCTGGTGCGGAACAGTACTTGGCACCTAGCGGGAGAGGCCGGGGTGCGGCTGAACTTCCTGCAGTGGCCAGGACAGAACGATGCGGCCCGAAGTGTCAGCGGTGCTACGTGGAGAAACTTCAAGAGGAAGGAGTCACAGGATGGGGCAGAAAGGAAGAAAATAAGCTTTGCTTTTTCAGGCTGCTCAGTTTTACAGGCTGCTCCGTTATCTTGGTCGCCCTTAAAGAATTACAATTTTGATGAGCCCACCAAAAATATCTTTCCCTTAGAATGTCCTTGTTCTTGGGAACTACATGATAAAATGTCATGAATCTGCATTTTTCAGATAATTCAACAACAGAAAAGTAACATGTGTGTATATAGACAGGGATCAAGCAAATGTAGCTAAATGTTACTACTTGGTGAGTCTAGAGAATTTGGGTGTTAAAATCAACTTTTCTGTGGGTTTGAAGTTTTTTCGAAATAAAATTTGGGTTGGGGCGCGGGGCCGCCTCCTTGCCAGCGTCCGGGGTGGCGTACCTGGCAGTAGGTACTGATGGTGGGAAGTAACTCAGCCCGACAGCGAGAGGCCGTTTTCGGTAAGACTTCAATGCCTGTCGCCTTGTGCGCTTCATTTCGCTTTAAGCTTTCAGCGAAATGGACTTGATTTTTCATTTCTTCTCAGTAAAATTTTTTTTTTTTTTTTAAACATGCAGTTATTTAACAGTGGCTTACTCAGGGCGGGGCAGGATTATGGATGATTTTCATTTTTTTGTACAGCTGTTTTCTGAGTATTCCAGGATAAATGTATTAGCTTTATAAAAAAAAAAACTTAAAAAGTATTCTTTCCTCTTATACATAATTCTATTTCTGTTGAAACCGTGTTTGATTTTACATAGATGATCGTTTTTGCTGTATCAAGCCGAATGGGGCCTGTTAGCACGGAAACTCTGACAGTGAGGAGTGAGTGCCCATCAGCAGAGTGACAGGAGGAAACAGGTCATTTATGCCATTTGCGAGGGAGAGGAGATGCTTCGTTCACCTCATTGCCTCCACACTCCGTAATCTACCAGAGTCACATGCCAGCCGTGTAGCTCGTCACACAAACAGATCTCATCATGTGACTCACGAAAGCATAAATCTCAGGGGGGGTCACATTTAAATGGAGACTGCTCTTTCTTTTAAAATATTTATTTCTCTAATTTCATATTTTACTCAGTGCTGCAATTGAAACCTGAAACTAATTTCACTAAGACTGTTTTTGTTGACCTGAATCACTAGAGACATTATGTTAGCATTATGGGTGCTGACACACTTACTTTTTATGAAAGTTAAAATGGTTCAAGTGTAATCATTTCTCCAATCCACAAGGAATTGTTAATGGTTACAGACATAAAAGTACTACATGTTTAAGCTACTCTGTGTGTTTGGAAGACAAATTAGGACACAAGAATTAATGTGTGAGAGGGGTTGCAGGTAGCTTGCTTATGTTACGGTAAGATAATTTATGCGGCCTCATTTTCCAAACTCTACCACGCTGTTTTTCCTAACTTTTATTTTGGTCTTATGATCTTATCGGAATTGCCATAAACAAGTTGTTTTGCATCTGAAGAGATTCCTTGCTTTATAATTACTTTGTCAAAGAGTAGAAAGTAGGCCTGTGTGAGAAGTGACATTCGACTCAGCCGTGACTCAGCAGTAGCAGTTCTGGGGGCGGGGAGGGCACAGCCCTTCCGTAACGACAGCGCAACAGCTGGGTTCTGTGAGTTCAGCGGATAAACCAGGATCCTTTTTCAGACCAGTGAGTCGTGGTAATTACCCGGAGTAATCAACATCGTTGGCGCACCGTGACCCCGTCACAAACAATGGAGTTTGGTGCCAGCAGTAACCACTGGGAAGTAGCAAGTCAAATGCCAAGTTTCCGTTGAGTGGACAGGACAGAGAACTATTCGTTTTGTCGTCATATTTTCTAGATTTGTAGTTTCAAGGCAAAGCATTTTTATTTGGTCGCTATCGCTTTACTTTTGGTACGGTTCATTTGGAACAGCAGTCGCTAAGGTTCCCAGAGACCTCGCTGCCACCTACAGGGCACTTTTTGTCTTTACTTAGTTGATGGCAGCTGCTTTTTGGCTTGTATCACGCAAATGCTTTTGCGCAGCCGTATCTGGCTCGGTCCTTCTTCCTGACTGACTGCGGCACCTCCTGTGCTTTCCTCTTAGATAGGAATCGTTAGGATTTGATACTCGGCCTTCTGTTGATTGTACTCTTTCTTTTTAGGCAGTTTCATTCATTACCAGCCATTTGCTGTCACTACAGCCCAGATTTCTCTTATGAACTCCCTGCACGCATCAGCTGCCCGCTGCACTTCTCCACGGGAATGTTCCACGGCCACTTGCTTTGGTCGCCATCCCACCCCTCCTCATCTCTCATCTAAGCACCCACTAAATCCTATCAGTTCTTTCTCCTAAACATATTTGGTAGCATCCTTTCCAAACATTATCACCTAGGGCGAGAGGTGGTCGCCAGGAGAAGGACGTAATGAGCCCCCAGCAGCCTCACCCAGCCAGGGGCCAAGGACTTGGCTTTCCGGTCCTGGCACTGACCTTCCAGCTAGTTCACATGGAGATGCCTAGATTCTCGTAGAATGGTGTATACACGAAGATCGCTGTATACACCAGAATGTTGATTCATCTTTAATGAGTTTTGGCTTATTAGAACGATTTAAAAGTTCACGACCCCCATCTGAGGACCTCTTCTTAGTATGTCAGGCACCTAAAAAACTGAATTTGAACTGTACTTGGTTTGGGCATTGAATTTTATTTCAAAAGTGGGAGGTGCGTGTGTAGCTCATTCAGATAGGATGGGACCCTGGTACAGTATATCTTCCAGTTACTGCATCTTTCTCCCTCGGACACAGCTACATAGCCCAGATTTCTCAGCCCAGCTTTCCTGTAGTGGCCAGTTGGTGCAGTATTGATTAAGGTATTGATTTTATTAATTAAGCTAGATCTTAGAGCTCTTTCAGTTGTTAGAAACATTATTTCCTTAAACGTAAGGATTTAATTCAGCTCAGAAGGCGGTCTTTTTTTCTATTGTGATATAATTGACAAAACGTTAGTTTCAGGTGTACAAGATAATCATTCAGTGTTTATATTTTGCAAAATGATCACAGTAAGTCTGGTTAACATCCGTAACCACTCAGTTTTAAATTTTTTTTTTCTCGTGATGAGAACTTTGAAGAGCTACTTAGCAACTTTCAAACACGTAATAAAGTAGTGTTAACTGTAGTCACCACACTGTGTCACGTCCCCAGGACTTACAGCTGGAAGTCTGCACCTTCTGACCCCTTCACCCATTTCTCCTCACCCTGTCTCTGGCAACCCAAACACCCATATGTTCTCTGTGTCTGTGAGTTTGGGGGGGTTTTGTTGTTAATTTTAGATTTTACATATAAGTGTAATCATACTGTAATTATCTTATTTCTGTCTGACATTTCACTGAGCATGATATCCTCAAGGTCCACGCGTGCTATAGCAAATAGCAAGATTTCCTTTTATAAATGGCTCAATGACGTCCCATTGTATTTATACATCACAACTTTTTTTATCCGTGGACCCATCAGTGGACACTTAGGCTATTTCCACATCTTCGTTCTTGTAAATAATGCTGCAGTGAATATGGGAGTGCATATATCTTTTCGAGTTAGTGCCCTCATTTACCCAAAAGTAAAATTGCTGGATCTTATGCTCTTTTTAAGTTTCCGAGGAGGCTCCACGCTGGTTTTCGTAGTGGCCGCACCAGTTTACAATCCCACCAACAGTGCCAAGAGTTCCCTTTTCTCCACGTCCTCACTGACGCTTACTTCTTTTTTTTCTTTTTTCTTTTTTTGGGGATAATAACCGTTCTAACAGGTGTGAGGTGATATCTCATTGTGATTTCGATTTGCATTTCCCTGATGATTAATGATGTGGAGCATTTTTTCATGTACTTGTTGTTGTCCACATGTATATTCTCTTTGGAAAATGTCTTTTCAGATCCTCTACCTGTTTTTTAATCAGATTGGTTTTTTTTGCTATTGAGTTATATGAGTTCTTTATGAATTGTGGATATTGACCCCTTATCACATATGATTTACAGGCATTTTCTCTCACTTGGTAGGTCGCCTTTTCATTTGGTTGATGGTTCCCTTTGCTGTGCAGAAGCCTTTTAGTTTGATATAGTCCCACTTGTTTATTTTTGCATTCGTTGCCTTCGCTTTTGCTGTCAAATTCAAAAAGTCATTACCAAGACCAGCGTCAAAGAGCCTACTGCCTATGTTTTCTTCTAGTTTTATTGTTTCAGATCTTAAGTTCAATTCTTCAATCCATTTCGAGCTGATTTTTATGTGTGGCGTAAGATAGTATTCTGGCTTCATTCTTTTGTATGTGGTTGTCCAGTTTTCCCACCACCATTTAGTGAAGGGACTGGCCTGTCCCTGTTGTATATTCTTGCCTCCTTTGTCATAAGTTAATTGACCATATAGCATGAGTTCATTGCTGGGCTCTCTGTTCTGTCCCATGAGTCATTGTGTTTCATGCCAGTACCATACTCTTTTTGATTACTATAGCCTTGTAAAATACTTTGAAATCAGGAAGCACGACACCTCCAGCTTTATTCTTTCTCAAAATGGCTTTTGCTATTCAGGGTCTTTTGTGTTTCCATACAAATTTTAGAATCGTTAATGGTATTTCTGTGAAAAATGCCGTTGGAATTTTGGTAGAGAGTGTTATTTCTATGTGCTCTTTCTTACCCACGAGCACTGCATATCTTTCCATTTATTCGTGTCTTCGGTTTGTCAGAGGTCAGTCCTAATATCTAAACGATAGGTGCTCGCTTCCTTCCACCTTGGATTTTCATATAGTCCAACGGCCACTTTCCCTCCCTGCCCGTGTCGTCCTGCCATTGTGTCGTTGGAGTGACATTTCCAGACTTGCAGGTGGAATGGTGCCCGTCTCGCGTTTGCAGCCGTCCGTGCTCCCCGCTGCCTTCTGGGTAAAGGACGGACCGCGGCGTAGCAGCCCGCGCTGACCGCAGCCTGCATGTCACCCCTCCGTTCCCCGCCGTGTGTTTCAGCGATTTTAAACCACTTGACATTTTCCTGAATATGCAGCGCGGGTCCAAGTCGTGCCATTTGCTGTGTCATTTTATCTGCCCGCCTCCCACTTTCCTGACTCGAACTCCTTCAAGATTTAGCTCAGCTCCCGTAGTCACTTGAAATTCTGGCTGACTCCAAACAGGATAACGTTCCTTCATCACTGAACCTGTCATTGTATATTATGATTGTTTGAAGAAATGGGCTGCTTCGTTTTTTTGAATCTTCACACATTGCCCACAGCCTGGTACCTAATAGACACTGTAAAGTTTAAATAATGGCGCGTGTCTGAAAGAAAATATGCCCCAAATTTACTTTGTTGTGTATTCGTTTAGTTAAAAAATATTTTTTCCCCGATTATGAAAGTATGAAAATATGAAAGTAACACATATTCACTGTTGAAAACTTGACAAAACTATAGAAAGATTAAAAGAATGTGATGTCATCATCTATTCCCAGCACATTTGGTATATTCAAGTCCTTTTTTTTTTCCTGTTCTGTGTATAATCTGTTGGTGAGAATATTTTTTGCTTTTACAGAATTGAGATTTCACATCAAATTCAATAGAGAATTAAGGCCACCCAGGGAATGTGTAGAAATAATCACCTATTTCAGAGATAGGGAGATGGAATCTTTTAAAGAGCAGTTCACCTGTGTGCTCGCGCCGGCGGCGATGGGGCTGTGTTACGCTGAGCAGAGATACTGCGCTGCACACAGCATCGCTCGCCTCAGGCGGCCCTGTGACGTAGCTGCCTGTGCTCTATTCTGAAGGTTAGGAAGCGATGACACAAGCTGTGTCTGCAGGATCTACTCTGAGGATCCTAGGGTCCACCAGGGGGGTCAGGAGGGTCACAGGTAACGAAGATTAAGGCAGTTAGCGGAACATAAAGTGACAGACTGCCTAATTTCAGTGTTTTTTATCTCTTTTGGTTGAGAAGTTTTATTGCTTAAAAAAAGCTTGCAAACCACTGGCCTAGCTTATTGGACAAATTCAATTTTGTATCATGTCCTTACAACAATGCTTGCTAAATGAGACGTTAAGCACTCCTCTCTTAATACATGAAAATTTTTTAGAATATTAAAGCTGTATCTTTTATCACGTGCTCTATACCAGAGTTAATTCTAATTGATCTTGAATTCAACATTAAGTAAATACTTTTGAGTCAGGCTACTTATGTGTCAGGCCATTCTGGTGCCGGGGATGTTGTGATTGACCAAAGAGACAAGATCCCTGCTCTCATGGTGTTTGCATCCTAGTGGGAGCAGTTGGCTCGTCAGTAGAGAAGCAAACAGGAAATATGAGAGTGCTGAGTGGTGTAAGAAGATAAGACAGGTTGATGTGACGGGGAGAAGTTGGGGGTTGGTTGCCTTCTGTTGCATCTCTGGGGAGACAGTGTGGAGCTGACCTGAGCAGTACTGAGGAGCCAGCTGGGTAGATACTGAAAATGGAGACCACAGAGAAATTAGAAGACGGTGGAATTTAAATGTATATCAAACCTTGGGGGAAGGGAACGGAACTTCCTAAGCTCAGAATTTAATAATCACCAAGGACAAGCTTGTCAGGTTTGACAAGAGAAATCTTACGGACCTTTGAACTTCAGAAACAAAACGAGTCTGAAAAAATATTTTTAGCATGTAAAACATATACAGGATTATCTACTAAAAGCTCACAGAGATTAATAAGAAAAAATATAAAATTCAGTAGCTAAATGGCAAAGAAGCATGACAAAGCAATTCCCAGAAGAGACTGTGTAATTCATAAAGATCAATAGAAACCTAAGGAAACACAATTAAATGAAGAATCTTTTTAACAAATTAGTTTAAATTTCTTTTACTAATATCCCATACTGGGAAGAGTACAGTGCACACAACTGGCATTTTCATAAAATGCTAATGACTATAAAATAGTAAAATTTGCTTTTGAAAAACAGTTTGGCGCTGTGTACCAAAATCCATATAAAATGCCTCTACTTCTTGGCTCAGTAATTTAACCTCTGGGAATTTTAAATAAAAAAACAGATTATTGGGGGAAATCTTGACACCAGAATCCCATGATTTTAGTAGACATGTGGTCTGACGGTAGGGAAATGTTGGAGTGAATCAAGCTGCGTCCATTCAGGGGCTTGTGTACGTACATGAAAAAGAATGCCTGTAACAGCTGCAGTAGCATAAGGAATCGCTTTTGACACAGTGGGAGATGACAGCGGCATGCAAAACTGTCATCTGTGTACCCTTCGTAATTGCTTTTTTCAGTGCGTGTGAAGATGAGAGATGGAAGCGGGGAGGGGTAGACACCAGAACGTTAGCCATGCTGTGGCAGAGCTGTGGGATAGAAATTCTAGCCTCCGTGTCTTAAAAAAAAGTCTTTTTTTAAAAGAGCTTAAAACCTAAATGTCAACAATAGAGAAATTGACTCATTTTTCATCTTTCACAAAGAGCTTTGAAGGTACAATCGTGTGGGAGAGCCAAGACCTCCAAGGCCTCGTGTCAAGAAATCTGCACAAAGTGACAGTAAATGACGGAGGGGGAGTTCTCAGAGTCATCACAGTAAGTCTTTCTTTTTTTTAAAGGTTGTTTAGTATACTTCAGCATTTTTTAATCCATAAAAGTGTTTTTAAATTTATTTTTATACCAACCCAGGCAATATGGAATAGTGAATCTTGTGTGTTTTAGAATATATGTAGTAGAAAATGTATAGTCACCACAGTAAAGATGAAAAACTCTAATGTTCTATGATTTTGTAACTTAGTAAATATATGGTTTTGCCTTAAAATCGGTGCATTTTTAAAAGTGTGATATTTCATTTCTCAGTAGTAAACATTAAAAACATTTGCTTAACGCAATTCAGAATATTCACTGTCTCACCTCGATAGTAGGATGTTGGTTAAAGCACTACAGATGAAAGTATTAGACGTAAGCTTGAGTTTGGCTTTCATGTCTGTTGCTGCGATTTCTGCCTCGTATTTTTAATTTATTCAGATTTGCTTCAAATTTAAAACAGTTTGACAGATAAACTTCTCAGAGTAATTGTATGATGGTAAAGAAGGTGTAAACAAACTTGAAATGATGAACTTTAAGTGGTGTTTGTGGTGGTGTCACAGACACAATCTTGAATTCTCTTTGATGCTCCGGTCTGATGAGTAGAAAAGTACTTGGCATTTAAATTCACAAGCGTAGTATATTTTCGTTAAATTTTAATGTTATTCACATGAATTAATTCCTGAACTAGACATGCCTATCGTGCGGTGTGTTGTTACTGATCTAGCAAACACGTACTGCCCGCCGGGGTAACCAGGCACGGTGATGGGCAAAACAGGTCCTTACCGGCCCGCAGTGGAGCTTGTGCTCCAGGGAAGAAGACATTAAGTAGATCACAGATTCACATATGATGATAAACTTAGCTTTGTAGGCCATGGTTAGGATCTCATCATCATCCCTGATTATGAAGGCTTTTGTTTAAGATATAATAGTCTATCTTAAACAAAAGCCTTCATAATCAGGGGTGGAGTTTATGGGGTTTATTTCTTTTATTTTCAAGGCAATTGCCTTTACTATCTTGTCTCTTTTTATATTTGTGAAACTTAAAAATATACAAGGTGTGGTATTGAGTCGGTTACAGAAAAGGAAATCAGATTACTTCTGAGTTGAGGACTAGGTTCAAATGTAAAGACTCCAGGGATCTACTTTGGGGCTGAAAATAGTTGTACAGGGCTAGAGGTAGCTTCAGCACTCAGCTAATCTTAAAAAGACATCAGGTAACTTAGTAACCTCCTCCAAGAAACTCCCTGTGTAAATGCAGGTTTTCATAAACGCTTAGAGCTGAAAGTTCTCCTAAGTCTTGCTCCCTTGACTGCAAGTGATGATGTCAGAAAAATTTAAAAGCCAAAATAAAAGCCAAGCTGTGACCTTTAATTAGAAGTTAATAAACAAAAAGTACTATCAAGTTCTAAAGCCAAAATGGTATAGCATATACAATAAAGAGTATGCTACCCTTCGTGGAACTGCGAAGCAGAATCTATGGCATTCACCTTGTAATTTCCTTCACTATAAATTTCAGCTATAAACCATATTTTAAATTAGATGACGTTACCCCCGTCACCTCAAGACAGTGTCCCTCTGCCAGCCTTAGAACATTGCTTCGTATGGTACAGCTCTGCTGAATAGACCCGTTCAGAAGGGGAGCCCACAGTGGCCCTGTGAATGGGCGGGTGTAGGGGGAGCGCTGTAAACACGCGGACGCGTGGGCGAGGTCGCATCCCGCTCTGCAGCTGTGCCGTGTAGGAGAGCCACACACTCAGCTGAGTCGCCTCCCTGAGTACCTGGTGCGGTGAAGAGGTAAATCTCTAATCAAAGGGCCTCCAGCGCTGAGCGGGCTACAGGCCGGTGGCCATCGGCGCAGCGTCTCGGCACCGTCCCAGCGTCGGTAAGCAGTAGGGCTCCATCCGAAGTGTCTGTTTAGGGGGGCCCTTTGCTGACTGGTAACCCACCTTTAAACTGCCTAGATGTGTTCGATCTCACAGCAATTTTCAGTCTCCGAGAAATCAAAGGTGATCGTGTTTTTTTAAGTTGTAGGGTTTGTAGGGTTATAATGCAAAGTAAAATTGGTTTTCATACAATTATGGTAGCAGTTTCAAGAATACATGATTCTCTGTGAGTCAGTTCCGAACGCTGTGTGGACCGCTGCACGTACCTGATCTGTAACAAAAACGATGCTCACGCCTTCCCGAGAGTGTGTCCGTGCACCGGCAGCTTAGACAGGTTATCTGCTCTGGAGTCACATTATGAATTTTGCCAGTCAGTTTTTAAATATAATGTATTTTTCATAATGAAACATTGAGCCCTTATATTCTTGTTTTTCAGGCTGGGGAGGGTTCATTGCCTCATGAATTCATGGAAGGTGTGGAGGGAGTTGCAGGTGGTTTTATTTATACTATTCAGGGTAAGTCAGCTGGTTGTACGTCGAAAAGCGTGCTAAATCTCAGGTACCTAATCGTTATACTTCGATGAAAAGGTGATTTCTTTTTTGTCATAAAAAAGTTGTATTGATAATTCACATAGCACATAATTTACCGTTTTAAAAGTGTTTAATTCAATGGTTTTTAGTATATTGAATTCTGCAACCATTTCTGTCACTCCAAAAAGAAACCCAAGACCCATTAAGTCACTCTTCCCTTTAGCCACAAACAAGCACTAATCTACTTACTGGACTTGCTGGTCTTAAATGTAAAGATTTATTGGTGGATTCTCAATTCTCGTCTTACACCGGAACAACACTGCGTTGCACTAAGGTTTGAATTTGGCAAGTGCGAGTCCTCTGACTCTTTTCCACGATGTTTTGGGTATCCTAGGTCCGCAGCACGTCCATGGAAATTTTAGGGTCAGCTTGTCAGTTTCTGCAAAAAAGCCAGCTGCGGTTTTGAAAGGGGCTGCATCGAATGTGTAGGTGTGGGGAGTGTTGCCATCTCAACGTGAAATCTCTGATCCATGAGCATGGGGAGTCTTTCCATTTATTTACGTCTTATTAAATTTCTTTCAGTGATGTTTTGTGATTTTCAGAGCACAAGTCTTGCATTTCTTTTGTTAAATTTATTCTTAAATACTTTTTCTGATGCTATTTTAAGTAGAATTGTTTTTTAAATTTTTTTCCAGATGTTTATTGCTAGTATAGAAATACAGTTGATTTAAAAGAAATTTTTTTGTTCAATTAGAATTGACAGTCATTATTTTGTATTAGTTTCAGGTGTGCAGCCTATTGGTTAGACATTTATTTTTCAAAGTGATCCCTCAGTTACTACAGTATTGTTGACATATTACAGTTGATTTTTGTAGATCGTTGTTGTGCGCTGCAGCCTTGCTGGACTGACTTACTAATTGTTTTGCAGGTGGCTTAAGGTTTTCTGTATACAAAGTCGTATCATCTAATAGTTCTGCTTCTTCCTTTCCAATCTGGGTGCCTTTTGTGTCTTTTTCTCGTCTAATTGTCTCGCACAGCAGTGGCGAGAGTGGTCACCTCATTTTGTTCCTGCTCCGACAGGGAGGACATCCGGTCTGCTACCGTAAAGGTGACCCTAACACATCAGTAAACTCGGACTTTCTTGGCCTCCTGCACTGTGGCGGTCGTGAGCTCAGGGCTGCCTGTCGGTCAGGCAGAACCTGTCTTCCTGGCCCAGGAATGGAGCACTTTGACTCCTCGTTTGTCCCTGTGCCAGAGACCGAGCCGTGGACTCAGGTTTCCCTCCTGCTTCCTGTGGACGCTCCGTCCTCATCATGTGACTATTTAAGTGTAGGGTTCCTCACAGGCTACGGTTTTGTAAATGCTTTTACTATATCTCATCAAGGATGAGTTGTTGGAAGGATTCCTTTAGAACTTAAGGCCAGAGGCATTAGCTTAAAAATGCTTTTAAAACTCAAGGGAATTTGTTAGGAATAACGATGGCTGTTTGTCTGTTTGAATGACACTCGTTTAAATATCCACATCTGTGAATTCCTGAGAATTCTTTTCTGATCTTCAACAAACACTGTCGTTGATGCAGTTGCTGTTTTATTGGTCACCTGTCCTGAGCATCACTCTTGGAACAAAGGTGCTCAGCAGTGCTTCTGTCTGACGACTCAGAGCTCTGCTGGCCATAGGTTCCTGTAAGGGAGTTAGGACCCCGCTTCCCCAGAGGCGCTCGGTGACTGGGGAAAGCAGAGGCCAGCCCTAAGGGGCAGGTCTCAGGGACTCCCCGGACAGTATGGGGCTGGGGCAGACCCTCCGTCTGAGGCCACTGCGTGTAGTTTGAGGATGCAGAGTGGCTGTAGCTTGTTAAATTTCTAGCATCTTTATTTATTCAGTGTTTCCTCATGGAAGTGCTTGTATTCTTACCCATAAGAGCCGGCTGGAACAAGTACATAGGTTTTGCCCACAAACTTGCCATTAAAAGTAGAGATTTAAGATTTAGGGATCCTCAGTTTCGGTCCTGAGATTTTTCATAAAACTATGAGACGGCTCTGCCAAGGAGGGTATCGGCGTAGCGCACTGGGAGGCGGCCAGGCGTTCGGCCCGAGGAAGCTCAGGGAGGAGGCAGCTTTCTTAAAGCAGCTCATGGGCCGGGCACAGGTGCAGTTCGCGCCCGACTTTGTCGCAGCTCCTTTTGTTTTGCTGATTAATTCAAGGGCATGCCATCCGGAGTCTTCACACGCTAGTGCGAGGGGCCCTTGGGACCTGCGGCGTCTGGTCTGCGGGCAGCAGCTGCGGCACCCCCGGGTGTGTGTCAGAGTCTCTCTCACTGAGGCTGAAGGAATAGGGTTTGGATGAGAAAAGTTCCTTATTTTAGGATAAAGGAATTTAAATGAATACATCTGAAAATCTGAGTAGTCATTAATTTTTTAAAAGTCCGAGGCGCTGAGGGCCATCCGGAAGCAGCACGGGGCACATTAGCCTCTGTGGCTGGGCCGTACCTCGAGCTGCCGTGTCCCAGTCTGCCGGATGGAGCTCAGGGGTCTGTTCACACGGGCTCCTTAGATGGATTTGACCTGTGGCTCTTTCGGCTCGGGGCCTGGGCATCTATTCAGGAAGTATTCCCGAGAGCCACTGCCCCTTGGACAGACGAGAATGGGGGACCAGAAACCTGGGACCCGTCCGTCCGCTGCCTCACAGGCGCTGACAGCGGCGGACATCGGGGACTCCGGCCGCCGTCTTCCCGTTTGCCGCCGCGGACGGCGGGGCGCTAGTTACAGCTCAGCGTCCTCTCCCCACCCCTCAGCCTCTCGCTTTTCTTATTTTTCAGAAAGTTTCTCTAGTTTGGCTGAGACATTTGAGAAAATCCTGCCCTAGTGAAAGAATTGCTGCCTTAAGCAAATCCGTAGGCCCTGAAGACAGTCCCTGCATAAATGCGACAAACGATTCATTAGCTCGTGGTCTTTCAAGCACGGCAGTAACCATGTTTATTATGAAATCTCAAAAACACACGAGAAGTCGGGAGTGCTGTAAGAAACGCCCATGTACTTACCGCTCAGCATTCGCAGTGTTTACCTCGTCACATTTGCTTTTTTCTTTTTAAGAAATAAAGCCTAACAGATTCCGTGGACGCCCCTCCTGGTTCTCCCAGGCTGTCCCCGCCCCCTCAGGAGGGGCCACTGTCCTGTGCCCTTCTCAGTCTCGCTTTTCTGCTCTGTACTCCAGATGCAGTGTCTTTGACAGCATAGTTTTGCGTGGACTATTTTAGGATTGATATCTGCAATACCATGTTGCGCGTATGGGTTAGCAACCTACTTTTTCTCAGGGCTTTTATTTCAATGCCATTCCTTTTAACATGCAAAATCAGGTGCATTTTTTTACCTGCCGTATTCCACTGTGTGAATGTGCCACGATTTAGCCATTCTCCCATCGGGGGGCATTTAGATCAGTTCCATTTTTTCGCTGTTACGATTCCGCAGTGAATAGCCTTGCGACCACGTAAAATAACGTCTCCGGGGATATAGCTGCGAGGGGACCGACAGGTCCTACGGTGCGTGCGCCCTCGGCCTGGCCCGGCACCGCCCACCTGCCCCCAGACAGTGCGTCCCCCCCTCAGAGCTCAGGCCCGCTGGTTCTGTGAGCTCACCCTGGACAGGGTGTTCGCGGACATCGCGGAACAGTCCTGGTCCCGTCTGTGCGGCGGCATTTCCCCTGAGCCCCCGCCTTTTCCTCTTCAGAAGGCGACGCCCTCTTACGGAGCCTTCGCTCTCGCCCTGGAAGACTCGCCGATCATACGCGGAGCCTCCGCATGGAAGATGCCTCGCTGGAGGAGGAGAGCGGTGTCTATGGTGACATCGTTTTTGTGGATGTCGTCGACACTTACCGGAATGTTCCTGCAAAGCTGTTGAACTTCTACAAGTGGTAGGTTGTAAAAATACTGCATACCTAGAATTGTTTGTTGTTCTTTTGAGGTAGAAACAATATATCAACATCAAACCACTGAGAGTTTTTAAGAAATAAACCAACCTTAGACCCCTGAACACCCAGAATATGATCTGTTGGATCCTAGTTCTTTGTAGGGATCAATCTTCTAAAATGCTGCCACTTATTTAGATTAGCAGGTGCATAACGTGAATGCCAGCGATTGCCAGAAACAAACAGGCAGAAATGGACTCACTCCGAGTCATTGCCATGGCTATCTCAAGCCAACATCAGATGAAAATCAGTGAGTTTGAAAGTGGCCCACCTCGTTGTGTTCACACCCACCGACCTGAACCCCCAATTATAGTCACTCACACCCCGGTTACTGGTCTGAGTTCTGATCAGCTGAACGTTGCAATTACATTTCCATTCTTTACCCTTTTAAAAACTATTTGCCCTGATTCCCAAAGTTTCCTATAAGATAAAATTCAACAACCCTTACTTAGTCTATCATGCTTATAACTTCCAGACCCTCCAGTATTTCTCGGATCTTAGTTGTAATTCGTACCTTTATAATAGCAACAATAAAAGTAACAGTTACATGTGTGTATATGTATGTAGTTGTTGATGTTATTAGTTCCTCTAGGATCCCATAATTTGCTGTTGAGTCCGGTACTGTACCCTCCTTGTGCAACTGAAACCTGTCCGCCCGTCTAGACTAAACCTGTGAAGTGTATTCATACCTTTGTCTGTTCTAAAACCTTGTCAGTGAACTTGTTTCTTGGCGAGCCCCCGAGTCTGTCTCTTCCTCCTCTCCTGTTGCCCTGGGCACAATGGGATATTATCAGGTACTCTACGGATATGGTCCCTGGTCCCAAGGGGTCAGCTGATCTAATTAGGTGATGAAAGGAAATGTTTCATAGCTAGGACAAGTTAATAGGATTTTGGAGTCACCCTGTGGGTGGAGGGCACACACACGTAAGTCGGAAGTCTGGGTGTGTCTAGAATACCGGAATGAAGTGTGGACAGCTGCAGTGAGAACAAGAACCACTAATGGACATTCCTATTGTAAGTGGTGCCAAAGCAAGAATGTAAAGAGGAGCAGGGTGGGAATGGAGAGCCAGGAAATGGGAAATCAGTACCGTGGAGTTCTAGGACTTTCTATAGGAGCCGATTCCCAGTTGTGGAAGTTCAATTTAGTTTAGCTATTACCTTCAGTATAAGTTTTATCTCCTCTACTCCTTCCATATTTCTAAGATCTTAGCCTCTCCCCTCAGTCTGTATGGTCTGCTTTGGGCCATTATCCCCACCTAGGTGACCTAACAGCTGTGCTTTGGGACCCACTTCCCTGTAAGCCTCCTCCACCTGTCTGCCCTCCACTCCGTAGAGGACACTTCCATTATTCATTCTCGTTTATTCGGTCGATTCATCAGTGAGCTCAGAGTCCTTCATCACAAGAGTTTATTCCTGTTTAACAAATAACTATTATGTATGCCCTAAGCTGTTAATTAGAAATACACTTTAGAAGCAGAAGGTTATGTTATTTGGTGTGGACCCACTGTTAACTTCGTCATTCTTTGACCTAGTTAAACTTTTCTCCAGATTTTTAAAATTCAGATTTCTGTCATCCGACTGGTTTCCTAGAGACTCTGGGTTTTTATCAAAGATGTACAAGGATTGGCATTGGGAGATGAAGGCATCGGTTTTGTCTGTGGTTGTCATATTTTTTTATGTCTAGCTAAATGAAATCACTCCTCTGTTCTTTCCAAAAGATCATTTATAATAGTTTACTGGCTGGAAGTCATTTCCGAGGGAAATGTGTTTTAACGTTATAACTCAGTTTCTTTAAACTATAAAATAGCTGAGTGTGCTATGAACAGGATCATGTTGTTGCTACCTGTACATTCGTGTTCTGTGTGAGAGACCAGGTGTGACACCTGTCCCTTTCCTGGGCGTCTCTCATTAAGAACACAAGGGACAAAGTCCAGATGTTTAGGTTTAGCAGCCTGACTCAAGATGCCTGCGCAGCGTTTGACCGTACGTTTCACTTAGACCAGATCTTTTTTTAGTGTTATTTTCCTTTGCACCTTTTCACATCGGCTTCGTTCTGTTAGGCCCCCCGGTGACTGTC